GATATCAACCGTTGCATCGACGTATGTAACTGTGCGTTTGTTTTTGTTCCTGTTCCTGGGAATGCAATTATTTGACACGTTCATGTTTACGATAAGGTGGTACGCAATGTTGTACTTTGTATATGTTTTGAACGCTACTTATGTTGTGCTAATTGCTGCTACTTTACCCATTTGACGGTACTTTGGCTTGCATTGAACAGCTCTTCAGGTAATCTGCCTCACGAACCAAATGTCCTAATCGTGTCCAGTTTGAGGTAGCTTCCGAGCTACGAGATGACCGTACCCACGCAAATGACCAGCTTGTGTTTGGGAGCCGGTTCCAGAGAGCAACGTTTTAAACTAATTAGAAATCAGACCGCAGGATTTCCAGCATCGTGCCAAAACCGGGATACAGTCTATGTTACGAGGGTCCTAACTGGAGCTGGAAAGTAACCTTGATGTATGTAGATTGCAGTAGACATTACCATGTAGCAAGGTGTACAGCAGTAACAAATAGCAGTGGTCCTCACAGCAAAAGCGGATCGGGGTTGTATTGCTGGTACCGTTATCTATAGTTTCTTGTAGCATTTTTGACTAGTGTTCCTTTGTTAAACGACCGATATATGCCTCCAATGGCTGTTGCGTTATAATTTATCAAACTATAACTAATTATACCGCAATACCGTAGGATAGGACACATTATGATTTTAGTACGTTTAACTCTTGCTGAGACTGTATGCGACTTGTGAGATATAACAGCCCTGGCTTAATTGGGTCTTGCTATTTGTACTCTATATGCTAAGCAATTCTAAATAACAGGAACATCTGAGTCCCAAATCACATGTAGACAGTTGTATATGAATGCATTTAATGTTAACTGTGATAGATTGTTAGGGTATCAAACGCGAAAGATGATATTTGGCTTGTGCTGTGAAAGTCATCACCTGTTTGTTGCACTATGCCTCAAGCGAATGTATTTCCAGCTGAATGGGAAGCAGTGCATTCTGAAGATCGGAGCCTGTAGGCAACTTTCATATCATCGGGAAATAATATTGGCATGCCAATTTCCATAACCAACATTATGTCCTTGATAGAAAGCATGAGAAGTAATGGACCGAGCACAATTCCCTATATCACCCTAATGGTGAATGGAGGCGGAGAGCATCGATGGTCGCCCAGGGAGATTAGTTACGAGCAAATGCTCGTGAGTGATTAAAACAATAACCCCAGTGAGTTTTAGACTCTAAAGGAAGCCTTCTCTAATCGTGACCATTTATGAGGCACAGGATCAAATGCTTTGCTTGTTTAGGAATATAAGAATTATCGCAGTTGTTAAGTCAATGAAAGCTGATATGCAGTTTGGAGAATTCACTTGTCAAATTAATTAAGCTCGTTTATCTAGGAGACTGCATTGCGACTTGTCTAGCAGCTATAATGAGTTGCTTAATGAAAACACAACATAATTAACCAATTTGTTAAATAGTCTAGTGAATATAGGAGCTTACTGGATTCAACAGTAAATGTCAAATTTCTATGGGAATATTCTTGGGGTGATGTTTATAAATGAAATGTTCCATTGCTCTAGAAAGTGGCTGGATCTAATTGAAATTGCAGCTATATGGTAAAAAAATAATTAAAGTCATGCTTTCCTAGTCTTATGGCAAATTTATTATTTAATGGATATTAAGAAAATATTTTTGGTTAGAAACGCAGCTACAGCTACGTTTGCACCCATGCGAATTGGGCAAGTCACCAGGTGCATGGAGGCGCCAAAGAACGAGGTAAATGCTTCACACACGGCGACTGAGTCTTGGATTTGGTGGCTTTCCCCGTAGACCAGTTGATTGTTCAGGGGCGGCCGTTTTTGGTTTCTCTCACGTAGAGGTTTGACAAGATATTTCATTTTACATGTCTTTTGTAGGATTTTTCTCTCATGATTTATTCCTCGCTTGAATTACGCGTCGCTGACTAAGACGTTGAATCGGTGTTTCAGCAAGATGGGTGCAAAACCTGCCATTTTGCATCATGCGATTAGGTTTCTGGATTTTTGGGAGAGTTGTAGTTTCGCAGCTTCTTTAAAACACGAATGTTCTGCTTGTCTGTTTGTATACTGGAAACGTACTTTGCAAGCTATTGCCTGCGTACTTCACCTTATATTTTATGTTATGAATATTTTTTGTATTTATGCAATTTTTGCATGGTAGATTAGTGTAATAGCAGCATGATCGTCTAGTTCTAGTAATTGTTTGGGTAGGGGTAATGTGCTATTGCTGAGTTCTGGTAAAGCTGGTGAAACGATGGGTTATGTCAGCAAGTCTAGACTATAGATGACTTGCTACGGATCTAGTCGGGTCCTCTGAGAAATTTACATGAAAAAACGGGAAAATATTTTGGATACGTATGGAGTGAATTTGGTCGCGGTTCTATTTCCAGATACCTTAAGAAATGATCAAAGAAAGAGATAACGTGAGCAGATGCACATGTAATAGCTGGTAGAAAGTGGCGTTACTCGTCTGTCAAGGTTCCTCTTGTTATCATTGCCATGAAAATGATTGTTTGGTGATAGGGAATGATAGCTAGGGTTATTTATTAAACATGGGATGGTTTTAATTGACCCAACATACTGCTTTTTATTCTAGTTGTACGAAGGTGATTTATAATGCTCATGAGCTGCCGCTTCGCTTTTTATATTTTTGTGGATTTTTTTGGCACCGGCCATTAAATGATTCACTATGTCATTGGAGAGTGTTATTCGGTGTAAAACACAGGCGTATCTGCCTTAGGAGACTTTAATACATTGGGTTTCGTTTGGAACATGCCTATAAAGCCAGTGCTAGGAATTTCCAATCAATACTTAATGCAAATCGCGGCTCACATGTCCAAGGGACACAACACAAGTGGCTTGCCGTTGTTAAGACGGGTTTCTCCTCTGTCCAGCTATGGAAATGTGGACAATTTTATGACCTCAGGAATCATGGAGCACGAGGCCTCTACCACATGATGGAGACTAAGAACATCGACGTCCATGTGTTCACTTTGTGCCCTTTGTACTTTTGATTTTGCGTGTTGTTTCTTAAATGTTCTTAGATCCCTGGTATACATTCTTATGTTGGTGATGAAATACCTCCGATGCGCACATACAGGGTGTACTATAAGGTTAAATCAGTAGGTAGTCGAAGCATGTACTTTGGGGTCTGGTGAGTTGAAGGTACATGCATCGGTTAGCAGATTCTCCGCATAAGAACCTTAAAGTGATCGGGAAGTAGCGCGTCGCTGTGTTTAGTTATAATCGCTGGCATTTGCGAACAACTTCAGTCATGTTGCAGGTCTTCAGAAGTAAAGCTTTTATTTTACCAAGGCTTTCTCCAATGGAAAGAAAATATTGTATTTAGTATAAACACCGACTGTTGTCTTAATGTTTAATGCGCAATTATATCTAATCATATTATTAATATATATCAGCAGTAAAACTTGTAAATTTTATCTGTTGGTTGCTCACGCTGAATTTTAATAATTCGGATGCCACGATCCTAGAGTGAATTCGCTTTAATGTGGAATATTAGTTGAACTTTAACTAACTTTTCAAAGCACCTTGTACTTTGCACTTCTTAAATTGCGTCAAACTATCCGGGACATTGACTGCAGATTTATAATCATTCAAAAATTACTTTAATACAGATCTGTTCATAAAAGCTCGATTTTCCTGCACCAGTATTCACTTACAACATATATTTATATATATATATACATATACATATATGTACATCTCGACACACTTAGTATCGCCTGCAATATATACCGACTGAATATAACTTATTACAATTTTAGAGATCACCTTGAAATTTTATTACGGTCCTCAAAGTGCTGACAGTTGTGTGTTGGTAAGCATTCCATCATTCCTTTTGTATGGGGGACAAATGCTCAACGTGAACTTTTATTCATACAAAGCTGAATTATTTAGAGCAAATACATAAGACTCTTATTATAGTCCATTCGACATTGCATAGTGTTACACTGAGTAACTTGCGTATGAAAACACGCAAATGCAATGACGTAAAAGCATTATTTGTGGAACACTTAAAGCAAATGTTCATGTGCACTCCGTGTTATTCTGCAATTGTGCAACACTTGCATTACTAAGGATTAAAAGAATAACTTTCACTTCAATCGGAATCACAGTCCACATTGAGGTAACGTATCACAATCCAACCACAGGAAATTTACTGTAAAATAACCTCCTTTTGGGTCAATATCGTCGTGCGAGGCGTTCCCCGTCGTGACCAAGTGGCTTGGAGGTTGCGGTAAACAATCACATCCTAATGATCCCGGTTTCGGTGCCTGCTCTCGCTAAATGATGAGGTCGAATAAGATCAAAACGCTTCATGGAGGGAAGTGTTTTTATGCGGGCATAAACAATTTCCATCTAAATATCGTTGAAAAATTTTGAAGTATACGAGATAGATGGTAGCTGATTTGGTTGAAACTGACAGTCTAGATAAGACCATAATTCTACGTTAGCATGCTTTATACAATTTCCTAGTCCTCTTAGGTCATACAGGTAAAAACTTTATCAAACAAGATAAAAACTTCATCTGTTATGCTAATACCTTGCTCCTTCCGAAGGAAACAAACTTGAGCCAGGCGACTGTGACATGCGCACACCGTCGTGCAGCTGGGACCTTACCCAAGCGTTGTAAGCCAATGGCATAACGGATGTATCGTCGACATCGCAATGTGTATGCATGTGTACGGCCCGGGAGTGTAGGGGAATCACTACACCCCGGAGTTTGCTCCTGTGTGACTTGTCACATGGACGGTGAAGGGTTGCATGACGGGGAATGGTGATAATAATCCGTTAATCTCTCAGGTCACCTACGGCAGTTTAAGAGGAAACGGGGTCAGTGGATGATAAGGAAGTTGAGCGCGATTCCCAGCACCATTATAACAGATCCTATTATAGGATAGGGCCACTAGCTACCCGAATTGTGACACTGCCGACAGTCTATGCTACTAAGCTAAACTCCAGGCGCTTCCCAGTACGATCTAACTCGTGCTGTAGACACATGACGCGCACGGGGCACTAAACACAATACTAGTGACGCATTAAAGCGCGGGAGCCACAAGTTAATTTGGCCACACCGGTGGAGATTGACAACTGCATTGGTGCGATATTCGCAGCGCCGAAAGCTTCCTTGCATTCTGCGATTGCCATGGGCGACGTATCAACATGGTCAGTAAGATTGTAATGCAATTCATGTCTGAATTATCTTGGTGCTTGTTCAACGGCTAGCCCGCAATGCGCCTCAAAGCAACGTGTAAAAGTTACACTAGGTATTGTTTAGTAGGGTCAATGAAGTTAATACTCAACGAGTCCTGTAGGTTGGTAGGGTGAAGAACACGAAATCCAGAGAGGATAGTTGAATCACAGTTAGGCGCATACTAATGCTGCGTTGATATTATGCTATGCAATGGGTAGAGGAGTAGTGTTGCAAGACGAGGCTAAGAATGGGATGGCCACACAGGGATCGGCTTTCGGGCTCACTATACGCCGTTGCTTGCTCCCGCAGATTGCGAATCGAGGAATGCCCTCCTACTGAGGGCAAGTGTGAATAAGTCTCTCTTATTCCGTAGGTGTGTTTAATAGGTAGTCACGGGCAATCTGCGCAGCATCTCGGAGCGTAGGAAGTTCGCGGTTTGTCATCTGATTATGCATTACATACCACAAAGCCAATGCTTCTGGATATAAGTTGAGTGATCAACCACATTTCAACCGGAGTGAAATACGCAAGGGAGGATGGATGAACAAACTCGGCTACTCCTCGCTTCTGTGTGGACTACCATCGACAACTATGAAAGTGTTTGAGCCACTTGTCTGTCGGTTGTGTTCGCACTCAGCAACGAGTCGGGTGTTTTAGGAAACGGTTCATGGTCCCTTTACTTTTATACTTGTACGGTTCCGGCACCATAGGTAATTTGTTGCCACTGAAACTCGTGTTATCGGCTCCCGACAGCTCGCAATATACGGTAATTGCCTCACTGCTTTGCGGTTAGATGCTAACATGGAAGTAAAAGCCATTGGCATGGAAACCCCGGCTTTTTGCTGCCAGAATGGACTAGCGTAAATCAAAAATTAACCGTCGACTCCCTCCTCTGTAGCCTACCATGCTAGAAAATTTTCCTACTTTTTCTTACTTTAAATTATTTGATGGTCTGCGTTGATTTAAACTTATCCGCTAAGGTTAAGCAAAGCTGTACTCTTTTGAACGCTTTGACTGAAAGCAACACGCAAATAGCATAAAACTTCTGCAGTGTAGACAGAGCTATCACCATGAATCTGGCCGGAATTTTGTATTATCAACGGGTATGTTCATTAGGTTATTAACTTACCTAACAATGACCCTGGTAATCCCAGTTTGAAGTAACATAGAAACCTAACTTTTAATCCAATGGAATTCATCAAAAATGTCCTCCTTCAGGAGAACTGCAGAAGACGTAGCGATATTTTTGAATGTGAAACTCTAAACGCGTCAATATTATTAGTTTTGATTACGGCACTCTTCACCTTAAGAGTAGCTAGTAATGCATGTTGCCTATATACAACTCTGCAGGAACAGGAGCCGTATAGGTCAGGATAACTACACTCAGGGAATAGGCAGGAAATTCCCAAGCGATTCAACGAAGAAGCAAGGAACCTGCTCATGAGGGAGTTCATGTGGATGAGGATGTTCAAACTCTTTTCGAAGGCTCAAAACAAAATAGGCACACCTTTTCGTTCAGTCTTATTCGCAATAATTCCAAGCCAGGCTTTCGTGAAGAAACTCGTAAGCCGGAACACGACAAGCACCCCTTATTTTTGAAGAACCAACAGTCTATCAGCTAAAATTATACAGTAATAAACATGCAACCCGACTTTCGGAATCAGTTCATTAATCTTTGAATAACTTGCTGAAATAATCCAACAAAAATTATCCGCGTGGACATTTTAAGACTGCAGGTGTCTTGTAAAAATTTTATTTCTATGCACTACTGCTAGGGTGCTTACGAAATTTACTTAAACCTGTAACATGCGTTTCACTGTTGCACATTATCAATAACTTTAATTCGTATGAATTTGCCTCACTTGAGTGCGTGCATTTAATTTCCTTTTCAGCTCCGTTCTTTATTTCCTGCTGCATACAGCGCCTATGATTTTGATGTTCTCAGATGTGAGCAGCCTATAATTGTCAGCCCGAATGACGCAATGTATGTTGCTACCCTTCGGACGAGACTAAATATATATGGTCTAATTTTAACAAGAATGAGCGACGCAGAGGTGGCTTTATTCATTGAGTCGGTTTTCAATTCAGCTGCACACAACTGTGTTAGTTACCAGCCGAAAAGCCTCACTCAGCTACTGCAGCAGGGTAAGCAAAATATGGATACTCCGGAAGGTTTGCACTTAAATGCTTTACGTACATCTATGAGATTTGCCTATATGTTACTTGTGAAAAAGTGTTAATCTCATTAGATAGATAGCTACTATAGTACATTCAAAGGAATATCCATAAAATTTTCACTTTATTGCAAAATTCCATCTGTTTTATGAATAAAGCAACTTTACTTTTATGAGCATGGTCTGATACCTAACTGGGTCCTAAATTCTAAAAACGGGTATAGCGAAGGCTGTTGGTAAAACATTAGTATGGCTTTTGATCTGCTTACTTAAAGTTTGTGTATAAAAATCCGGTACAATGATCATACTATCCACCTTCACCCTATACACCCTCTATTTTGACCGGTTTCGGAGTACCTACCATATTATGCAATATGGCCTGTTTCTCAGTTAGAAAAATAGATAAACTTTCCTGCTTTCTTAAATGAGAACTGCTGAAATATGATCATTACTTAGCAAATATTAATAATATACTTCGACTTAAGTAAGGAGTCCATATTTTGGTACGGTTGAATACATTCCAGGATTCTTTGGTTCCGTGAAAATGTTAGAAGTGTCCTCATGCTTGTGGCATTGAATAATTTTCAACTTATCCCCATGAAATCCATCCTATAGTTTTATCAATGGCAATAACTTGTTAACATTGCCATTTCCCATTTAAGCGCAAGGCACGGAATATTATTGTAAGTTTGCACTTTTACATCATTAAAATAATTATTACTGTTGACAATGCAATTTCAAATGTCTGCTGGATATTAAGGAATATGTTTGTTTTATGACATGGGGAAGGTAAATTAAATCATCGATAATGTTATTAGACAAATATGTAAGGTTGATTCAATCGTTTATTATTAATAGTTTACGCTTTACTGACACAGTAAACTCTAGTAGATTACAGTTTCTGTCAACCGACCTTAATAATAAAATACTCGGAACAGGTTAGGAAATCTCGTCTTTCATGTCCGAAATTTTCCTTCCAACAACATAGGTAATAAAGTCGTCTAACCTTGATAGGATATTCATTTCAGTTTCAGCTGCATACGTTTCTTTGACAATATTGTTGAACTGGCCACATGCAATTTGTTCTCACTAAACATTCACTTTATGTTAGGTCCCCCACGGCAGATGTAATAGCGGAGCTCCGCTACTTCCAAGTCTCATCCAATCGCATCCAGCATCCATTTCGGTACCTTATAAGATGGTTGTATTAGTTTGATGTAATCGACTGCGTAGCATTTATTTTACTTTACAGTCCCAAACGGTTGAGCTTATGTCTCCCCTGGATTCCTCTATCCGAACACATTGCTGCGTAACCTAAAGCATCGAAAATCAACCGTTGTTTACAAACCGAGGTGACAGCGTAATGCAGGTTTTTATCCAATAGCTATAAAATCAACATATCTAAGACTCTGACTTAACACATGGGTACCATGCAGACGACAACCACCCAACTGTAGGTTTTAAAAGAGTCGCATTACATGTGCTGTCTATCAAATTTGCTATCAATTGAAACCGATAAGCAAAAATTACCTCAAATTGTAGTTAGTTTTTAATTTGATGAAAGTATTCAGGTCAACATCAGAAACAACCTTGGTATAAATTTTAGGACCTAAAATTACGCTAGTTCAGAAATAAGCATCCGATGAGCCATATGTATAACAAAACTGAACGTATATAACAGCTGTCGTTTATTGAATTTTGCCTACTTGCACTTAGGATGCATTTTCTTCGGTGTTTTATTTTCTGATAGCCATGATTTCCGGGCCTTCATCAGTTGACATCTGCAATAAAGTGAGCGTAACAATGATAATTTAAAAACAGCTAATGAAACATTGCTTTTGCTTGTGACTCTAGGCTAAAACATTTTATAGTCAAGAAATTGTAAGACAGGCTTCTCCACGATTCTAGCTTTGGGCAACTTACTTTATATATCGCGGATATATTTTCAATAAACCTACAATATTTTGTGCCATTGTTATCGAAAGAAAATGCTTATTCACACTAAATTTATGATCGCTGTTTGAAAAATATTCATACAACCTACAAATTATTATCAATAACTTTTCAGACTCACTTATGGATGGCTAAGGAATTTAATACCATGTATGAATCTTGTCAACTGCAAATCACAGGCCATTTTAATGGCACTGGAATTAGCAGTGCACTCTATCGAATGAAGATCAAAAGAATATTATATGCGATGGACGTGAATTCATATAAAGTTCATCTTACCAAAATGATAGTCGCGTTTAACAGGCCATTTCAAATTGGTCCATTCAACGGATTTGTCTTTCTGAGCTGATGTAAGTTAATTGAACGTTTAGCAACTAATCACGCTCAGCTTCATACACATCCGCAACGAACAATACAAAATGACTAGTCCCAGGATAAAAGTAATTGCTTGACACGTCACATACGATGACCGGGTTGAATATACAATAAAGTCAAAATATATGTGTGCTAGCTACTGCGCGTCTACCAGCATAAATTCCTTCATAAATAACGTAAGTGTAAATAAATATCAAGTGAAACCATGCAGAAATAACTTCATGGGATAGTGCTCGTTTAGTTAAGGCGTGAGGAAAGTAAAATAAGGTCGTTCACTTATGCTCCGCCTCCTTGGGTCCATGTGACACATAAATCCTAAAGTAGGGCATGTTTAAGTTAAACCAAAAGGACGTAGTTTATGTAACCAAGTGCTGGGTGCTAATCGCAGGATACAATTGTTTATTAAAAATGTCCAAATTTGGGTAGGATACAACGCAA